CAATATTGAAGGAGATCATTTTGAGCACTTCAGAGATTAAACTGTGCTAAAAAAATGTAAGTAAATTGTTAAACAAATGTACATAAACAGTTTTGAACAAATCTGATTGTAACAAATAAATCTAAATGTAATAAAATGTTTAAAAAAAAAAAAAAAAAAAATGTAAAGTGGCCCACCCTACATTTTTATTTTAAATTTCGCACATGCATGTTTGTTTTTGTTGACTGCACAGTATAATAGGGTCAGTTGGGCACTGGCTGTGAGAAGAGCACCATGACACAATTCACTCTGCCAGAAATTTGGAAACCACCGCTATACTGGTTGGCATTCACACTGGAAGCTTCAATACAAACATTTCAGAGTGTTTGTGTGTCAATTTGAGGACAGTGCAGAGATTTGGAAAGAGTTGGATGAGTCTAATGGTTATTATGAAGGCGTTTAGAGTGATCACTATTGATGGCGACATTATGCCTCCGTTCATCTTCCCACTTCTCAACAAGGAGGCCTACAGTAGGTAGCGCTGCCCTGAGTCAAGAGGGTGGCTGCTGGAAGACCCTATGTCTGGCACCATGCCACACAAGCAGAAAAATGCAGTCATGGCTGTCAGACAATTTCTGCAACATCACCCTTTACATATGGCCACCTAACTCCCCCAGACTGCAACACCTTTGATTATTATGTGTGGGGCATAATTGAATAAGAGACCGACAAAACTCTTTGTAATACTAAAGATGAACTGAAGGCAAGGATTATGGCAGCACTCGCAACTTAAACAAGGAGACCGTCCAAAAGAGATGCTGGAGATTCTGAAGTTGTCTGTGGGCCATGGTTGAAGCCAATGGTGATTTTATTGAATAAATTTACTCTTTAGTATTTCAAGATATTTTTGTGTAATATTGGTAAATATATCTGTTAAAATGTGATGTCTGCCAGTTTTATGCATCAATTCAATCTTCAGATTATATATTTTCCAATAACACAACTTGAAGTTTCATGCACAACTCTGTCTTCAGGTAATGAGTATAGTAGTGCTATCGGTGTGGTATAATATGTATATTTATTAATATATACTTAATAGCTGTTGTATTACATTGAGCACAGTTTTATTAACACCAGTACTATATATATATATATATATATATATATATATATAAAACTTAAGATATTTGTGCCAATGTGGTATCAGAAATTTCAAAATCATTTGTATTAATGGCTAAGAGACGAATAATGACAGCAAAAAACATCAGAAAATATTCCTGTTGCTATGTTGTGAAATCCTCACTGTTGCACAATATGTGGACTTGTAGGCAGGCCACTGGTGCCGGGACTGAAGTGTCACATATGAAACTGAATGGAGGTTGTCATATCCTCATACGTCAAAATTGACGGAAGTGTTCATCATATAACTTAAATGTTTTTTTTTTTAGTAGATACACATATTTGAGTAGACACTATTTATTAGACAGTGTGCATGTGTGTATATATATATATATATATATATATATATATATATATATTCGTCTACTGGCCTGAATATTTGAGAAATCTTATTAAATAAAAATATGCACTCACTGGCAGGATTCAAACATGCATCCTCCTGTGCTGGGATAAATTTCATTAGATCTGACATGATAAAAACCTCTTGGCTATGAAGTGTGTTGATCATCAAGCAAATATATAATTTAATAATAATAATATATATTTACACTCCTTTCGCTAAGACTGATCGAGTCAGGTTTTTGGTACATTTAAATAAAATGTTAAATCCTCAGATAATCCAAATTTGGGCTTCTGGCTATTGAAGCAGTATCATTTCTTGGAAATTGTGATTAATAATGTTCAAGTCTATAGAAAAGAAGCCATTCTGCAAAGAAATCCCTCTAAACTATTACTCTAGGATAATCAATAAAAGTCATCATGCAAATCTTATCTCACAAAAGTCTTCAGCAGCCATTTGGTCAATAATAGCCACAAAATGTCTTCAGTGCTAACACACAGTAATAAAAAAAAAATTTGTAATTGAAGGAAACATTACAAGCAGATCTTTAAAAAAAAAATTAGAATTTATATTCTGTGTATAGACTGACAAATCTAAATGTAAATTCATTTTCTCCTTGGAGTTCGTAAAGGGGAAGATCACCTTTTCACCCTGTAAAGAAAAGCATAAAACTTTGATGATGTCACCATCATTTGACAATGCTGCCAGTGAAGGCGATATAAAAATACAGGAAACTGCTTGAACCACAAGATGCCTTTTTTTTTTGTTTTGTTACATTCCACAGTGCTTAAACTGACCCCCCAACCACTAAAAAATTGGAAAAATGCTTAACATTAAAAGCAAAACTAAATAAAATTCTCAAATTTTCTCCTTGCATGTAAATCATAAAAGTATATAAAGATGAGTCACATATCAGAAAAAATTTCAGCTTTTCTCTTAAATGCAAACAAAAATCAGAGGAAATTATTTACATGTTCATGTGTGTGTGTGTGTGTGTATATATATATATATATATATATATATATATATATATATATATATATGTCTGGAATATTTCTCTGAAATTCAAGTTTTCCTTAAAAAATACACATTGAAGCAAAAATTACGTTAAACAGGCCATGATTTGTTGGATATGCCTTTTACTTTAACAAGTTAAAACGAATGTATAAATGGTCTATAAAAATGATAAAAAAATAAATAAAACCTATTTGTTTGCCTTTTGAGTTAATTAGAATACTTCTAATTCAGATTTACAATTGCTTTCTACGTCCTTCTGGCTTAAATGCATAATAGTTTCTAAGAGAGTATGTGAAGGAGTTAGAGATCTTTCTTGAACAGAGAAGCAGAGTGGACAGGTCAGTAGTGCCATTCAACAAGTCGAGTAATGCAATCATACAACACATTTCTAGTCACAGCTAGAGATTCTGTAAACACAAAAGGAGAAATGAAGTAGAAAGAGAGAAAGTAAGAAGGACAGAAGAGAGAGGATTGGGAGTTGCTGTTTATACCAACCAAATGTTTCCAATATCATCCCCTCTTCTTAAAAATTAAAAAATAAATAAAATTCCAAAGAAAGGGAGAGAAATAACCATCTGCCCTCTTTCTTTTCATAGGAGTCGGCTAGATTTTTTAAAAAGAAAAAGCAAAAAAGGAATATAATTATATTTAAAAAGAATATTTCCTTTAAATAGACATGTACACACAACCAAGCACACCAGGCTTATTTTAGCTGACAAGTTTATTATATATATATATATATATATATATATATATATATATATATGTGTGTGTATGTATGTATGCATGTGTATATATATTCATCCAGAATAATAAGATTTGGGAAGATTGTTATAATTGGCTGATAATATTAAAATAGGCAATAAGCATTGCCAAACGTACAGATACAGCGGCCACATTTGTCAAATTGTGACATACAGTCCCAAGCTCAAATTGGCAGATCCCAGACACTGGCTGGAGCCAACCGAGTCTATTATAACACGAAAAGAACAAAACAAAAAATGCTATACCTGAAGAGCCACATCACCCACCTCATTGGCAGATTATTAATAATAATAACAGATTCAAGCAAAAGTGAATCATCTTCATTAAATGTACATATTAGCATAACTTTAAAAAAATTTTTTCATGAGACCCTGAGCTCCAGAGCTTCTTTACTCAGTCACAGTTGGGAGAATGGATGGGTGGGTAAATATTTTTTATTCATTTTTTTTTTTTTTTTTTTTTTTTCAGCGATAGTGGGTAGGGCAGTAGATATAGTACAGATAATATGCAGACACCAGGAAGAGATTATTTTTGTTTTCTCCCATCTCTTCTCTCAAGTAGCAAAGATCTGTTTGTATGCAGGAGTGAAACCAAAGGGAATATTAAGAGACTTAATGCTCTTCTTTAAATTTGGTTAAGAAAAAAAAAAAAAAACAAAGAAAAAAAAAAATAATTAGGTAGGGTTGACTGACTTTTTTTTTTTTCTTTTTTAACAGCTTATCAACCTTTGTGGGTTATTTAAAGCCAAAACATTTCAGATTACAGGAGGTTGCTTATTGTACCCGGAATTAGGGATGGGGCAGAGAGATTAAGGACAAGAAACACATTTGGAGATGGGAAAAGAAATTATCACAGCATGAAAAAAAAAAAAAAAAAAAAAAAAAAAAAAAGGAGTGTGGGAGGTGAAGAGAAAAGGGGAAGAAATTTCTAGATTTCTTTTTTTTTTTTTTTTTACTGTACCAATTCAAGCAAGGTACATTTTCATGTTTGTAAGTATGTTTTTCTCCCCCCCACCCACTTCAGCTAAAGAAAAAGGAAAATATGTAAAGAGGAAAAAAAAAAAAAAAAATTATTTTCCAAGTTTATTCCCCAATATATAAAACTTGTTCAATTTTTCTTTGCTTTTTTTCGTGTGGATTTGTCTTTTAAGAATATATATATATATATATATATATATATATATTTTATTTTTTTAGTTCTTTTATATCTTCAGAGATTGTTCTTGTTGGTAAGAGTGCATTTTAAGATTTTGTCTTTCATTCAAAAGAGATGAGAAAACACTTCACAAGATGATAGATAAATCTAAGATCACACAGCAAAGATTCTCTAAACTGTATATTATTATTATTATCATTATTATTATTATTAATATCATTAATATTATGGCACCATACAGGTTCCTTTTGTCCGTATGAATAGTTTCAGCTCCTTCAGAGCAATTTATTTCAAGAGTTTACACTACATCATATTATATATATAATATAAACATCAATATATATAATATCGATATATGTGTGTTAGTTACATATATATATGTATGTATATATGCAGTACAGTTGATTGTTGCTGCTACTTCCTGTCTTACTAACTTTCCTTCTTTTTCCATCTCTTCACACTGCATATATGTGTGTATGTGTGCATGTATGTATATGTTTATTTGTCTGTGTGTGAACATCTGTCTGCCAGTGTCTGTGTGTCCAAAGTTAACGCTGACCCGTCATTATAACTGAGTGTGGGAGGTAAAGGAGCTTGTACTACTGCTGGGTGTCAAGCTGATTACACTCCCTCGGATGCTCACATCATCGGCATGCATAGTGTCCTGTGAGGCCGCCTTTATCTCCAAGGCATTCAGACCAAGAGCAGTTGTCTCTAAATCAAACTCTTCAATTTCCTTGGCTTGCTGTTCTTGGAGTTGTTGAACACGCCTTGACTCGTCTGCCTGGAATTTGGCCAATTCTTCCTCCATCTACAAAAGAGTTAAAAAAAACAAAAAAAAAAAAAACACACACATTAAGAATATTATCTGATATATACCATTTGTTTTCATACTTAGTAAATAGTTATCTATGGCTCAGTATGGGCTGACAGCCATATCATGTTGAAACACCAGTTCCCGTACCATCACAAAGTTAAGCAATGTTGAGCCTGGTCAATACCTAGATGTATGACCACTTGGAAATACCAGGTGTTGTAAATTTGGATGTACAGGTGGTGCAATGGATAATGGCTCAGAATTGTTAATTGGAGAGCCAAGTTTCAATTTCAGTTAGGTTCGTTATATTGCAAGTGATTATTGCATTAACAATTTCTTTTTGCAGATAATGATTTTTCCAGTTACAAGTCCTACTATTTAACTCATAGCTGTAAGGAGAAGATTCATACTTTTTCCAAGGGAATTTCTGCATAAGCGAATGTAACAAATTTGAACTTAGCTCTCCAATTTTACATTCCACACCAATCCATATTCAGTACACAATATACTAGTTATTTTAGACCAGTTCAACCTTAATTCATTTGTACCAAGTGTTTTATTTCATTTTTTGCTTAACACAAATTTATTATGAGGGTAACAAGAGAGTTTTCAGCTTAACCAAGCCCCACCATTTTGGAAAAGTGCTTTTGACAGAAAAACTTTCCAGCCTTCCCATACAGAATATTGGTAGTAAAGTTAAATTTAAAATAAGAAATAATTTAGCTTTGCTGGATATAAATAAGCATTTGTTTATAGGTCAAAATTGATTCTCTTTCTCTCGTATCAGTAGCAGTTAATTTGGTTCCATCAAATCCTGATTTCAGAATAAATTCTATTTTGCAGCTAAAATGAATTTTCTGGTTCCTTCAAAAAAAAAAAAAAATAATAAAAAAAATATAAATAAATAGGGGGGGGGGGCAAACATCTTGCTATTCCAGATAAATGACATCTGCATTATTTGGAAGTTTTGGCAATGGCATTTTTTTATTGATTGATTCACTTTCTATCACTTATCAAATTAAAGCCAGAAAATATTTTTTAGATTGTAAGAATTTTTTTTTCTTTTGAGATAATGATTTATCGATACCAATAGCTGGGTGGGTGGGGGTGGTATTCATACCTTTCCCAAGGGTAGTTACACCACTTTTAGGATCATTAACAGTAGTATGGAAAACCAGAATGTGAAAATCATCACACTGCAGTAGAAGCCCAAGAAGTTCTTCAGGATATTGTACTTAATTTTGGTAAGATTTTTCAGAAAGGAGATCAAAGACAGTTACGAACCTTTTGCTCAAGAACGGCTCTCCTCAGTGATACACGTTCCTCAAGTTGTTTGCGTTCATGTAAATGCTGAGCCTCACTTTGCATTTTGATTTTGCTTTGATAAGCCATCAGCAGTTCCAATTCTTGGGAGAGGCGTTGCTTTTGCTCTGAGGCCTCCGACAACTGAGTTTCATCGAGTCGAATCTGGAATGCAAAGTAGCAATTAGTTCGTTTGCAATTTACACACATTTCACAAAGGACAAAACATCAACAATTTCAATTATTTGTAATAAAAATAAACATTTACAATATTTTAAATTTTTATTATATCAAAATCCAAGAGTCTAAGGTTGATTCTGCTCATTGCTTTATAAAATAGATGCTTACAAAGAAATGCTTTTAACTGTTTTTGATACAAAAATTAAAACCATAAAATGATGGCCAAGTTTTCAGCAAAATTTATTTTCATGTAACTTTATTTGTAAGTGTTGTATTTTATTACAAATTAATCAGTTTTTTTAATTTTAAATTCTCAAGCATCCAACTGTTAAAATTAATAAAAAATATTTTAAAATGATTTAATTTAAAACGTAAGTGTATATGGTGAAACACTGGGCTAGAAGGAAATTTCTAACACTTTCTAAATAAATTCAATGTTCTACAAACCATGAGAATTTTCTTTTCAACCAAATAATATTATGCAAATTACTGCCTTGCTTGGGGGTGCAGAAGATTAAAAAAAATAAAATAAAACTGTACATATCGATTAGTTTGCATTTATAAACAAAGTGTTTTGCTTACATTTTGCTGTTGTAACATTTCAGCAATGCTCTGTTCATACTGCTCACCAAGGATGGCCAGTTTACGACGTTGTTCCTCTTTTAGTTTTTTGACAACTGCTTTCTGTTCATTCTTTGGAACATTCTGAAGAATATGTTCTTTCAAAGCTTTATATTGTTTTTCTTGTGTCTTTACTGCCTCTCGGAACTGCTTTCTAATTTGGAGTTCCTTTTGCTAAAATTATTAATGTAAAGAGCATTAAAAGACGCCAGTTAAAATGCAAAACCAAATAGAAGACATTAGGGCAGAATAATAAGAAATTAAGAGAATCCAATATTTTAGAATAAGTTTAATGTTAATGAGACAAGTGTCTGATGAATCCAGCAAAAGTAAAACCAGAAAAATAATGTGAAAATTCAATATTAAAAGTAAGGAATAAGACAAATATCAGGTGAATGTTGATTCATTACTAATTTAGTTTGTTTAATGGCATATCAACTCCTTGTGAGTAATCTAATGCCAAAGCAAGTACGGTTGGGATGTTATATTTGCATATTATTATTTCATCATTTCTAATTTAAATTATGCAAAAGATAATGAAGAGAAAAAGAAATGGGAAGGCAAATTTTTAATTTTTATAAAGTATTAACAAATTATGATAAACTTGGTGCACTCAAAGACTTATGAAAGGCCTTTAAAGCCAATATTTTTAGATTTCAAAACTTTAATAACCCCAACATCATTCTCTGTAATATGATTGGCTTAATACTAAAAGGCAGGAGGTACGTTTGTTGATGATTCAGTCAGTTACAAGAATATGATGTTCTGATGGCTTATAAATAGACATTTCTATAAGAAAGAGGAAGCATTGTCCAATTAATGGTACATCAAATTCTCACCCAAAAAAAGAACTAGCAGAAGTACCTGCCTATGAAAGGTCAAGACTTCAAGGTCAGATTCAAAACTGATTAAATCATTAAAGCATAAATGTTTTAAATACTTTCCATGTTATACTTTATTATATTCAAAATCAAATAAACAAAATGAATAACTAAAAAATATCTATTTGACAATTTTTATTTTCCTTTAAAAAATATTTTATTGTTCATATTCCAGTTTTAGTGATGTACAATAGTAACTTCTTAAAGCAATCAACTAAAACAATATTTAAAAGAATTTGAAAGAACAGAAGGACGTACACCCAGCATTTCTAGAGTCACTGAAGTTAGAAATCACCATAAAAAAACATTACTTAGCACTGACTATATCCTCTTTACAACAAGACACTCTATGAGTGCTTACTGGTACTATGTAACACAATACTACTAGCCACATGACTGGATCATTGGTAGTTAAACCAGTTCCCCTACTTTGGTTGGTTGATTTTGTTTAGTGGCATATCAAACTCTATGAATTATTTAATGCCCAAATGTAAATATTTTGTACACAATTTTTATTTTTGGAGATAATAATGGTTTAATGATGCAAGTCTTACAAATTAACCCATAGCTGGGGAAGAAGAGGTGAATTCATGCCTTTCCCAAGTGACTATTAAACCCAACTATAATTGGAACTTGGCTCTCTGATTAATAATTCCAAGCCATTATTCATTGCACTACCTGAAAATCCAAGATTACAGCACCTGGTATTCACAAATGAACACCCATCTAGGTACTGATCAGGCTCAACATTGCTTAACTTCAGTGATTGTATGTATGAGAACCAATGTCAATGTGATAGTGGCCATAGGTACTGCTATTTTGTGAATGGGTACTGGACCTGGTTATGAGACTGATGGTGAACTCTTCTGCCAGTCATATATATAAGTAATACTTTGACCCTGGGCACAATAAATATGGATAATTGAAATGAATTGATGAACAGCAAAAAGAAACTGTCAAGTAAGGATTGATTTTGAATTGAATTTTTTTTACAAGAAAGAAACTGTAAGATGCTTTCAAAATACTGCCTTTGAGGAGATACCAAGTTATCAGCCCAACCAGTTTCCCAAAATATCTGACCTGACATATATCAGATCTTTTTTTTTTTTTTTTTTTTTTTTTTTAGAGGCGGGGGGCAGGCCAAGAACTTTCCAACAGTTGCAACAAAATCCAAGTAAGGATCAATCTTACCCGTAAACTACGTGGTTGCTGTTTTACTTCAGAAGCATGCTTCTTGCGTAGCTCCTGTTCAGCCCGGGTACTGTATTCTGTCTGATTAGTCAATTCCGTCTGGTGTTGCTTTTTCATGTGTTCTTCACGAAGTTTTTGCAAACTGGTTAAATGGCGACATTCAATTTCTTGCGTAGATTCATGATGGCGCAACAGCATACGATGCTCATATTCTAAGTGGGCTTGACGCTTACTCAATTCCTGTGCAAGGAGGAGAGTGAACAGAGTAAAAATACAATGAACAAGTAAATAAATCATTCGCTACTAATCATTCAAAATGCAAAGGTGATCAAAGCAAGCATTCAGTGTGTGTGTGTGTGTGTGTGTGTGTGTGTGTGTATATATATATATATATATATATATATATATATATTGAAAGTTATTTGACAGTTTTAAAAATACTTCAGTTAAAATAGTCATCTTAGAAGAAATAAAATTCTGAAGTCAATATTTCTAATTCACACTAACAGGAAGAGAAAGGGCGGGAGAAAAATGTAGGGAAGTGTTTCCAATGTTTTTCTTATATCATTCATGGGCCTAAAAATTAGTAACTTTACAACACACAGCATCAAGTCTGATACCAATCATATAGCACATTACTGCAAAGGTTCAACTGATTGAGCCTTTCCTCTATCAAAAAAAATTAAAAAGATCCGTCAGAACAAGAGGTCTTAATGTTTTTCAATAGGTTCAATTTGAACACATAATTTCATTTCACACATGACTGAAATTTACAACATATACTTGTTCTGAAAGAGGACATTTCAACAGATCTTTCTATATAAAATTCATGTGTGGATTGTGAATTTTAAATGCTTTTATGCTAAATGTGAAAACATAGAAAAACAAGATGTATTTGGCTCTTATTTTTGGGAAGAAAAAAATTGCTGTGCAAACAGCAAAATGGAGATGGCGCCATAGCTGAGAGTACTGTTAATTGGTTCCCTATGTTCAAAAGTAGAAATGTTAATTTCAAAAACTGATAACATTTTGGCAGGCCTGCACTTGAACAAAATATTTAATGGACCATATTCTCTCCTCAAATGAATATACAGGATGCGATGGATAAATTGTCGTATAAATGACACAAAAATAAAAATAATGCTGACATCTCATTTTAACAGATATATTTACCAAATTTATACAAAAATAGCTTAAAATACTAAAGAGTAAGTTTATTCAATAAAATCACCATTAGCTACAACCATGGCCTCTAGATGACTTAGGAATCTTCCACAACTCTTCTGAATGATCTACTTGTTTAAATTGGTGAAAGTTGCCATAATCCTTGCCTTCAGTTCATCTTTGGTGTTACAAAGAGTTTTGTTGGTCTCTTGCTCAACTGCACCCCACACATAATAATCAAGAGGGTCGCAGTCTGAGTAGTTAGGTGGCTAGATGTAAGTGACAATGTGGTCACAAAAATTGTCTGACAGCCATGGCTTGGTTCTCTTGCATGTGTGGCTTGGTGCCAGACATAAGGTCTTCCAGCAACCACCATCTTGACCCAGGGCATCGTTACCTCTTCAAGACACTTGATGTAAGTCTCTATGTTGAGTCTGAGACCCTGTGGGAAGATGAATAGAGTTATAACATTGCCATCACTAGTGATCTTTGTAATCACCACTAGACTCATTCAACTCTTTCCAAATCTTCTGCACTGTCCACACATTGATTCCCAAACATGCTGAAATATTCATATTAGATCTTCTGGCAGGAATGCAAAGCAGTACAGCATGCCGTTTCCAAATTTCTGGCAGAGTGAATTTCATCATGGTGCTCTTTTTCTCACAGACAGTGAATTAAATATATAAAATGGTGACAATTTACCCATCACACCCTGTAGAACAATCCATTTATTTCAAAAGAATGATCACCAGTGATGAAAAATTAATTGTCTACAATCATATAAAGCAAAAAAAGCTCCTGGGGAAAAATGAAATTAGTCCCTATTAACCACTCTGGAAGCCAGTGTGCATCCAAAGAAGGTGATTCTGTGTATCTGGTGGAATTGGAAGGGCATGATCTATTACAAGCTCCTTCCACGAAATCACTCATTGAATTCAGGAAAGTATTGTTTTCATCTCAAGTGATTAAAGAGAGCAATTGACAAAAAGGGTGCTGTCCTCCATCAAAGCCATATATCTCGTGTCTCTTTGCAGACTCAACAGAAATGTCCAACTACACCGGCTGTACTCACCTGACTTTTGGATTACCACTTATTTCGATCCTTACAAAATGGGAAATCTGTAAAATACCTACTTAAACCATTTCATCACCCAGAAAGATACAAAGTTCTGGAAGGATGGAATCATGAAGATACCTCTAAGATGACAAAAAGTAGTGAAACAAAAATAGCACTTATGCAGTTGAATAAATCCATGTAGAAATATCTATTGTCTTTCGGAATTCACTTAAAAATCAATAGGAACTTTTGTTACAACCATATATATATATATATATATATATATATGGAGAGAGAGAGAGAAAAATAAAAGCCTTATTCAAACCTCTTTAAGAAGATCATGTTGGAGCATGTGACTTAACAGCACCTTCCGCCTGCGAAACATACGAATTTTAAATTCTCTTGAGCTCCTATGCTTCCGATCCAATCTATCTTCCTCCTCTTTTTGCTTTTGTTGCAGAGATTCTTTCTGGGAACGGATACTTTCTTCACGGACTTTCTTTGGGGTGCTATTATCCAAATCCTGATGCAAGAAAGAAGAAGAAAAAAAAAATTAACAAATAAGAAAATCTTTCTTGTAAAAAATAAAAACCAAAAGAGAAATTAAGGTTAAGCAATTTGTTGTAACCTAGAAAGGGTTACTGAAAGAGAAAAAAAGAAAACCAAAGAAAAGAGAAAAACGGAGGGGAGAAGAAAAACAGAAGAAGAAAAAAACAGAAAGAAAAACAGAGGGGAAGAAAACAGAGGGGGAAAAACAGAAGAAAAAACAGAGGGAGAAGAAAAACAGAGGGGAGAAGAAAAACAGAGGGGAGAAGAAAAACAGAGGGGAGAAGAAAAACAGAGGGGAGAAGAAAAACAGAGGGGAGAAGAAAAACAGAGGGGAGAAGAAAAACAGAAATATTTGTATTTATTTATGAAGGTAAAGATTTTCTTTATTATTTCAGTCAATTTCAACATTATGACATTGATATTTGAAGACAATTTAATTTTATAATTTTTAATACCAAGTCATTTAAATGAACAAGTCAGAAGAAATTTGTTAAACTGAAATATGAAAAGAAATTGGTATCAATTTAATAATCTATTTTATTAGCTCTTCTAATATTATTGATTTTTAAAGTAAAGCAACATAAGAATTTGCAGAAATAATTATACAACTAGAGTTACCTCCCTTACTAATATTTTTATCTTATTTTTTTTTTTTACTCGATTGTCACAATTATGCTGTAACTCAAAATTATTAAATTGTTACTGAGAGGTAAAAAAAAAAAAAAAAAAAAAAAATTATTGCAGGAAATCTTAACAGGCTTCATAAGCAATCTAATACAGTAAGTGGGGGTGGGGTGAAGTGAGAGAGAAGCTAAAAGCTTTGTCTGACCCACTTTTCAGTGGGAGGAAAAAATAAAATAAAGAAAATAGAATGTTGGAATTTAGTCAAATTTTGGAAAGTGGGTTAGAGAAAATTTAAAACCCTACTTGTGCCATCATAAAAGCTCCAACATATTACCAAAATTAAAATTTTTTCCTATCATTAATTTTTTTTTCATCACTGAGAATTAAATAAAGTAAATCGTTTTTTTTTTCTTTGCATAACCAATTTAGTGTCAATTATTCACCTTTGAACATTTTTTTTTTTATAAACCTTTTATCATCATTTATTCAGTAGAGTCAGTGCAGACATTCAGGTGTCAACCACAACGGTCCTGAATCAAGGTTGGAAGGTCATTAAGGTGCCATTCTATGTCATAACATAGCTGGTCGATGTAACTGGTGACTGGGCGACCAACCTGTCTTGCTCCATGGCTAGGTGTCCAGAATAGCAGATCACTCATGAGTTCTTGTTTTGCTCGCCAGTAGTGTCCTGCAGAGCACATTCTGCATTCACCTAAGATTGTAGAAATATCAGAGATGGGTGCACAGAGCTGTGATTTAGCTGGATGTTGTCTCCCAGAGATGTTAAGTATAGATCTCAGAATCCGAGTGTAGGTTCCATCAAGCTTAGGGTTTTAGTTAATGTCTGGGTAATGGCAACATACATTAACACCGCCTCTACAGTGGCTCGAAAGAATCTCCACTTGAGGTTGTCTGGTAGATCAGATTTCCAGATTACATCCATTTTATTCAAAGTGGCACAGGCTTTAGCCATGTGAATTTCACATCCTTTTCAGTAGAATTTATTTTGTTTTCGAGGTACATAAAAGATTCAACAGATTTTATTGATTCACTTGAGACAATTTGTATTGAGCCTTACTGGTTTAAGCCTATGAATCCAGTTTTAAAGGCATTGACAGAGTCTAATATTGTTGGCAGCAATTTCTAATGGTGTGTGCAGTAACAGCTAGGTCATCTGCATAGTCAATATCTGTCAACTTTTTTTGCAGGGTATCAACTTGAGAGTCTTGGTGATAAAGTAAAACATATATGATGATGTTTGTTGAAGGAAGTTCTCAATACATAATCAAGTGTGATAACAAAAGGAAATGGTGCAAGAGTGTCACCCTGGAGGACTCCTGCTTTAATGCCAAAGAAGTTAGTGTCTTTGTCTGGGGACCTAACCAAATTGGCTTTTTTTTTTTTTTTTTTTTTTAAATGAGATGAATACCAGGAGACGCAAACAATATTAACCAAATGACCTACATTATATATATATATATATATATATATATATATATATACACACACACATTATATATATATATATATATATAAAAAGTACAGTGTTTGTGTGCGTGCATGTCCAAGCAACTTCTCTGCTCCCACTTGTCCAATTTCAAGGATTTATAGTCCATTCAAAAGCCCTAGAAAAGTTAGGCACTGGGAACAATTTTTGTTGAGCTTAGATTCAGGGTTGCCAGATTATGCAAGGTTAAAAAAATATATATTGATACATTATACTAGCCATTATCACTGTTTTCATGGTTCAAAGGGAGTAACTTATTTTCCTCTTGTATCCAAAATTGCAATGCACGTTTTATTATAAACTAGCTTAAAAGCCGCCCTATCAGGTGGCATTTAAGCTAGCTCCTGTGGAGGACTCTTGGTCTGGCCATCATCACAATAGCTAGAGAGGAGTAGATGCGATAGGCCTCAATAAACCGTAGAAGAACTCAAAATTGATCGCTGCATTTAAGTATTGAATTAATGTTTCAGCTTATCTTTTAAAAGTTCAACGATAATTCTTTTGTTGCCACTTAATTTAAAGATAATTTCATGCATGTAGATCCTCATTTTCCGTACAAACAATTATTTTTATTTCATGGGTGACAGGACAGGGGACAATTTATAAAGATAAAGATGGGAAAATAGAAATTAGAATTAGTTACACTTTCAACATTTCAACACAATAGCTAATTAAGTAAAACCTATATTATAAAATATATATGAATAATTGCAAAATTGGAGCTCAATTCTTCCATGAATATTATAATTTATAGTAATTTGTATCCCAGGAGGGTGAGGGATATTCAGATTAGAACTAGTGCCTTACCTTTTTCATCTGCTCTTTGTTCTGTTTGTATTCTTTTCTTTGCTGGGCGGTGAAATTCTTCATCTCTTCTTCCTGCGTTTGCTGAATCTGCTTCATTAACTTCTTCTCTTCGTTGGTATCATTTCGTTGCTGAAATAAAAAAAAATTTAAAAAAATGGTAAAATGAGAATATTTTTTTTAAAGCTGTCAAATGGTTGTTTAGATATTTAGAAAAAAAATGAAACCACTGGTACTCTGGGCTTGTATTCTCTTTTTACAACACACTAGAAAAAATATGTATATCACTGAAAGGTAAGAAAAACTCTCACTTAAAGAACTGCAGAAAGTTTTTCAAGAGTCTTAATGACTAGTTAAGAGTCAAATTAGCAGTTGAGATATTGAAAGTTGACTAAAACTTTGTTGACAATAGTTTTAACACAACAAAGCATCAAGTACAATTTTAGATATCTAGAACCAGTAGTAGGTTTATTTAGCTTGTATCAATTTTTTTATTTATTTTTTTAATAAACAAGGAAAACAAAAAACATTTATATACATATTCTTTATAACTTTGGGAAGAGTCAAACATATCCAACATTATTCAGTTGTTAAAATCTCATTCTATATTTGATATTATCACAACAGTTGTAGAGGACCAATGAATGTAGTAGTTGAAACATTAACACAACATATATGAAGAGGAGATCTGAATGTATATAGAAAGTTCATAAATATGAAAGAATAGAACCAGCAAATTGAAAAAAAAAAATTTTTTTTCTGTTAATATTCTAAGGAATTGGAGTAGATGCTAGCATGTTATGTAATCAGATACAAATCATCATATAATTAACACTGGGTAGAATGTATTATGAAAAGTCATTGTACAATTTAAACTTATTAAATAATTTAACCAAATTTTCATTAACTCCAAGATGTTGCACTCATGACATTCTTTACTTCAGGCCAAGTCATAGTGCAACTGGAGGCCTATTTCCACTAAGAGTGAAGATTTTTAGTTTCAGATTGCACTGATGTAGTTGACTTAAGAGATTCAAAGAAAAAAATAGAAATTAAGAGCATCATTAATTTCACTTGAGAAATGAATCCTTCATCTTGACATATAATTTTTCTTTTATAATGTTTTATTACAATTGATATAATAATTTGTTGGCTTTTTGGATCCTTCACATCTCGCCCCATTAATAATAAGGATGTACAAAATGTTACCTGAATTCTAAACTTTAAATTAATTATCCACTTTAAAACATTTTTAATATTGTACTAAATTTATTGAATAGGATATTAACTTTATGTAACAACATTCTTAATACATAATTTTTCATTAATTTTGTAGGATAAAATATTACATTTGGTCCTTTTTAAGTTTTTAATGGTAAATTAAATGTCAACATGCTGTTTTTTTCTTTTTTTTTTTAAATGCCTTTTTAGAAAAAAACAAAAAAAATTACTCATAAAAAATAAAATTTTATCAGTATATTTGCTGTTATGAATAACAATATCAGAGAAAAATACTAAATTAACTTTATGTAACAAAATAGTATTTCTAAAATTTTGGTGTATAAAAGACAGAAAAAAATCTCTAAGAATAGTCTTAAAAACTAAACATTAAAATTAGCTTTCTTTGGAGAGAGTGTAATATTTGTAAAAAGATTACACACTTTATATATATATATATATATATATATATAAAGGTTCTCTAACTGAGGAGGGTGAGGGATATACATACTTCTGGAAAGGTCTTCCCACCAGGGAAAGTAGAGTCCATGGTGTTGGACTCGCTGTTCACTCAATGCTTCGAAGGAACCTCCCTTCTGTTCCAACTGGGTACAGCAAAAGACTAATGACCTTCAGAATTCCTCTCTCCAATAATGTCTATGCAACCATTTTCTGTGTGTATGCTCCGACCTTGGATGCCGACGAAGAGATAAAAGATGCCTTCTATGAATCTCTCGACAGCCCTGCAAGTGGTACCTCAGACAGACAAAATCATCTTCCTTGGAGATTTTAATGCCTGAGTGGGCTCTGATATGTCAGTCTGGACAGGAGTCATTGGCTCGCAGGGTATTGAGAAAATGAATGCTAACAGACTATCTTCTAAGCCTTTGTGCCAAGCATCAGCTTGTGATTACCAATACTATTTTTCAACACTTGAACAAATACAAGTGTTCTTGGATGCATCCGCACTCTCGGACATGGCACCTGTTGGGTTACGTGAAAAGATGTCCTTCAAACTTACGCCATGCATGGAGTGAACTACTGGACTGATCTTCATATAATTCGCTTTCATATAAATCTCACTTCAATCTCCAGCCCACAAAACCAAAGCCACCCCTATACTCAATGTTGCCCGTCTTGAACAAGCATCAAAACGAGTCAAACTTCAAGCAAAATTACTCAATGTCTGTCAATCACTCCCAGCACCTCACACCAATGTTAATAATCATCAGAAAATTGACAGTCTATGGGACTCCACCATCCCAGCTATTCGGTAAGCCGCTGAAACTGCGCTTGGAAAAACTCAGCAAAGGAACCCAGATTGGTATGATGAATCCATGGAAGTTATCCAGCCACTTCTGAAGGCAAAGAATCATGCACACAGCGTTCATCTTGCACATTCATGCTCTTGAACTCACAGCCAAAACTGATGCCACTTACAAGCAGAGGCACAACGGAAGCTTTGAGAAGCTCAAAACAACTGGTGGCTTTGCAAATCTGAAGAAATTCAACATTTTGCTAGAGAAAACAAAATTTACGTTTTATGATTCCATTAATCGTATCTTTGGTCCTTCTCGCAATGCCATAGCACCTCTTTGTTCTGCTGATGGCTCTACTCTGCTCAAGAAAAAAGAAGAAATCCTAGCACGATGGGCTGAGCATTTCAAGGAACTTTTGAACAGAGACATGCCGATTGATTCTTCTGCTTTAGACTAACTTCCAACTCTACTTGAGCTGGATTCTGTTCCGACATTGGATGAAATTAACACCACTATAAATCCATAAGAAACAAGAAGTCCCCCGATGATGATGGTATTCTAGGAGAAGTGTACAAGTATGGTGGACCGCACCTAGCATCATATCTTCATTCCTTTTTTGACCTGTGCTGGACAAGCAGAATGATCCCTAAGTGCTGGAAACATATGAATATCATAAGCATTTACAAGAAGAAAGGTGATTGCTCCATCTGCAGCAACAGCAGAGGCATTTCCCTCCTAGATGTGGCCGGGAAGATTCTCGCGCGTATTATCCTTCGTCGTCTTTCTGACTGAACGAATTCTGCCGGAATCTCAATGTGGCTTCGGACCTGAACGTAGTACCCTTGACATGATATTCATCAATCATCTACTACTCAAAAAAAGCACCAAAGAGAGATTAATTTTGCTTTCATTGACCTAAATGAAGCCTTTGATATGGTCAGTCAGGAGGTTCTAGGGCTTTTGCTTGGCAAATTTGGCTGTCCGCCAACCTTTCTGAGTCTTCTATGCCAATTTCATGAGGATATGCTCATTAAAGTATCCATCGGGGGATCCCCATCAGAAGAGTTCAGTGTGCATATGGGAGTTAAACAGGGTTGTGTTCTTGCTACTGTGCTCTTTAACATCTATCTGATTGCTGTGACTCTTCTCTGTCACACATGGAACCCAACAATGGAATACGTATCCAATATCACTTTGACAGAAGCATCTTCAATGCCTGACATCTCAAAGCTGAGACTGACCTCTACCCTTCCTGTCTATGAACTGCAATATGTTGACGATGCGGCCATAGTGTCTCATAAAGCACCCTCACTACAACAGTCCCTGACCTCATTGCATCAGGCTTATTCTTGGCTTGATATCAACCCAAATAAAACAGATCATTCAAACGGCATTGAAAAGATGTAATCCAGCAGCTTGGCTGCTCATTGACAACATTTCGTTGCCTAATGTTAACTTATTCATTTACCTCGGCAACGTCATATCTGATAATGGACACACTGATGATGACATTCTCTGGCGGATAAACCTTGCCTCCGCTTCCTTCAGATGTCTCCGCCTCCAGATCTTCTCTAATAGCAACCTCCTACTCAAAGCCACTGTCTATCAAGCTGTTGTTTCAACACTGCTCGACAGCTGTGAGTGCTGGACCCTGTATTGCTGACAAATAAAACTGCTTGAGACATTCCACATCCACTGCCTTCAGTGAATCTGGCACGTTAATTGGAGAGATAAAGTCCTCCACACCAAAATTCTTCAACATGCAAATTGTCTGCATCGAAGCCATCATCCGACAACGCTTTCTACATTGGGCTGGACATGTGCGGATGTCGAGCCATTGCCTCCCAAAAATCGTATTCTTCAGAGAGTTCAAAACCAGCAGCCGCCGATGTGGAGGCCTAAAAGAAACGATTTCCAGACTATCTTAAATGTGCTCTTGTCTCCTGCAACATTGACCAAACACAATTAGAGAACCTTGCAAGAGATCAGATTGGCTGGTGGTCTCTCTTGTCGCAGACTTTGAGGAAGAGAGACAAGGAGCACTTGAGGGGAGGTGATGCCAACATCATCTGTAACCTCCCAATTCCACACTGGGCATGTTTCCCTGCCACCTGTACCTGAGAACTTGTCATTCATGGATTGAGCTGCTATCTCATTTGGCAGCCCACAGAAGATGGACAGAGATGGAATGACAGTGTTGTCATCAACAATGACAGACAGCCTAAGAAATATATATATATATATATATATATATATATATATATTACACAAAATTTGAAATGGGCCTCCAGTTCTGGTTTTCAGTTACACTATGACTTGGGCGTAAGTAAAGAAAGCCATTTCTTCCATCTGACAATATGAAGAAACCTTCTGACATGTGAGAATGCAAAGTATTTTTTAAATGAAAGTAGTTCAGTACCTGCCGCTTCACTGTTGGCATGATGATCAAATATAAACTATTTGTCCATTTAAAATACTATATTTATTAGAAAATATAGTCAATTTAAATGCAGAAAAAATCATAAGTATGGCTTCAAAGGGCTGCACATTTTGATTTATACTCTTTTCCTGTTATCCAAGGGTTGTTATCAGACAGAAAGAGAAGTTAACCTTTCAACACAGACATACATTTCAATTTCATTCAAATTGTGTGTGTATATATACATTTGCTTAGGCATATTTTAATTCAATGACTAACCTAAAAATATTTCTACAAAACCTTAAAAATTAAAAAATAATTCTATATTGCTGAATAATTTCAATAAAATCTTGTAAGCAACTGATATTTTTTTTTCAAAAGGTTTAAAAAAAATTAACTTTTTCTTGTCTCCAATTTCACAATTGTATTACTCAATCCAGACTGAGAGGAGAATGTATTAATCCAAACTAAGTCAAATTGTGTGTGTATATCTCAATCACTCAAGGACAACTGCAGTTGTGACCATAGAGTCATTATAAACTCCACAATTCTTTTGTTACCTGTATAGTATGTGCTTTACCAGGGCTACATACAGTTTTGAATTCGGAGTTTTTTTTTCCTTCTTCTAAACTGGTTGCCAAGAAAGAATGAAAAGCCCAGTTTCTCTACTATATAATTATTGCCATTTTATATTTTTAATTTTGCACATGTGCATTATTAGTTTTTGATTTTGTTGACTGCAGAGTATAGTAGGGTCAGTTGGGCACTGTCTGTGAAAAAAAGAGCACCATGACACAAATCACTCAGCCAAAAATTTGGAAACGGCATGCTGTAATGCCTGGCATTCACACCAGAAGCTCCAATATGAATGTTTTAGAGTGTTTGGGTGTCAATTTGAGGACAGTGCAGAGGATTCAGAAAGAGTTAGATGAGTCCAATGGTGATTACAAAAGTACAGCAGTTTGGAAAACTCACTCTCATTGTTCTGATAAGAAAAGAACTCCTGAATTTGTTGGTAAGGACCTCAGACACACACTGAGGCCTACATCAAATGCCTTGAGGAGGTAGTCCTGCCCTGGTTCAAGAGGGGTTGCTGCTGGAAGACTATGTCTGGCAACAGAACTCTGCACCATGCCACACAAACAGTGGAACCCAGTCATGGCTCTCAGACAATTTCTGTGACCACATCACTGCTTATATATGGCCACCTAACTCCAGACTGCAACCCCCTTTATTATTATATGTGGGGTGCAGTTGAGGGAGAGACCAACAAAACTTGTTGTAAAATCAAAGATGGACTGAAGGCAAGGATGATTTTATTGAATAAATTTATTCTTTAGTATTTCAAAATATGTTTGCATAACTTTGGTAAATATATCTGTTAAAATAAGATGTCAGCATTATTTTCATTTTTATGTAATTTAGACAAGAATTTATCCATTGCACCCTGTATGTCTTCACATGGCTATTATTTTTATTTGGTTTGATGGTATATTAAGTACTATTAGGGTATTAATTGTAGGAAATTAAGTTTATAATTAAATTTTTATGCAGTAAATGGCCCAAGCATAACAGACCTACACAAATACATTGCATGCATGTAAATGCACACAGTGTGCAACAGACATAGTATCCACTCATTTTTTTTATAATATAAATTAATAACTTTGGCCAAGTGCCAGAACACTAGCTTTGTCTCCCCCTCCAAATCATATAACTTAGTATAAAACTGTGATAATTTTGAAAATGGCTGTTGTATGGCATAATTACATGGTTAAGGCTATGAGCAGAAGCAAGTAACTCCACTTGTCTTCTGAGATGATTATATATAACTCAAAAGTGGCCAATCTATGAAACTGCAAGGAACCTGTAGTTTTCTGACATTTCAGGTGCATGCCAGGAAAATATTTGGGCTGACATCCTTTTGTATTGCTAATAGCAAAGTAAAACAAAATCTCTAGTATTAACATTATATTGTTTTTGGCTGTCTAGTTTTTGTTATTGACATACAGATTTGCAATGAAGATTACTAAAAAATTTCAAGGAATATTAAAAAAAAAACAAAAAAAAAACTGCTTACCCGTTTCTCTAATTCCTGAGAATGTTTTAGAGCAAGTCGTTCCAGTTCTTTAGCAAAGCCACCCTTAACAGAATCATACTCTTTGTCTAATTTCATTTTATGTTCATCCATTTCAGCATTAAATTTGCTCTCCATCTAAAAAGGAAAAAAGAAAAGAAAAAAGTTTAATTATTTTGATTTAAACAAGAGTAAAATACTTGAAAACAAATCACCCATTCTTCAAATTCTGCATGTATTTTGTTTAGTCAATTATTTAGCAACAATTTTATTAAAACTTGTTTATTCCAATACAAACTACAGGGTGCTCCACAAAAAACAGGAAATTTGGTATAGTTTATTTAATTGTTGGAATTTTTGTTACAGTTATTTGAAACAAATGCAAAGGATAGAAATTTAGTCGCTTAAAACAGGACAAAAATACAAATGTTAGATGTGGTGCATTTTTTCAGTCCCCAAGATGGATGTTCTTTTCTTAAAGTGAACAAGCACCTTGTGTTGAAAATTTGATAACTGCAGCATCCTGGTTAAAAAAATTTATATGTTAGTTAATTTTTTTCGTTTATTCATATAGTAAAATATATATTTAATTTTCTTATGATTGTATTTTTTTTTTTTCAATATATAGTAAATCTAAAATTTCCTGTTTTTTGGGGGGGTGGGGTGGGGGACAACTGTATAAATACAAAAGCACCCCAAAGTGAAAATATTAACTATGAAAAGTTGAAATTATAGTGGCAATGAGAGAAATGGAGCACATTCATTAAATCTTTTTATTAAAAGGGATATGTTCAAAATGCAATCTTAAAGAGGACATCAACATATCTATATAAAACGATAATGCTTAACATTAGTCAATCTTATCCTTAAAAGATAAAAGTATAAAATTCCAATTACAAAGATATCCTAATCAAACACTATTGTCACAAGCAGTAGTTCGCTGTAGTAATAAATGTCTGGAAGCTAAAGGCCACCATTTTGAGCATCTCTTGTATTAATCTTGTGATGTCTGAAGAAATTTAGTATTACAATATCTATACAAGTTTTTCCTTTCCTGAAGTGTGTATACATTTTTTTTTTTTTTTTTGGCAGACTCTGTATATAACCTGAATTATTTACATTACTTGGGCTGTTATCCTCATCTTCATTGCCATATTCACATTTTGACCATTGTATGCACTGGCCTTCTTCAGGTGATTAGAATTTCTAACCGAACCCTTTATTTTGCCCACCAGGGTAGATTATTTTAGTTCCACATGCCAAGCCTCTTCCAGGTGTCTCAGTTATTTCCACTTAACTCAACATCCAATTTTTTGGTTCACCACTGCTGTGGCCTGGTATTGAACTCAAAACTCTTTGGGCCTAGTCACTGGATCTAACCCACGTCTTTATTCACTGGGCCATGTGTCCTTGAGTTGTGAGTTCAATACCAGGCCACAGCAGTAGTGAACAAAAACTTGGAGAGTCAATTTAAAGGGAGATAACTGAGACATCTGAAAGAGGCATAGCATGTGGAATGAGAAAAAACTACCTTGGTGGACAAAATATGATGGACTTTTATCAAGGCATTTGACATGACAAAAATCCGTATTGGTCTGAATATTTGAGAAATCTTGTTAGAAAAATATGTATCCTTTGGCAAGATTCGAACCCGAGTTCCCTAAGGAAAACAGACATTAGATCTGACGTGCCTTAGACCAACTCTGTCATGAAGGACCTTCTGATCAAAACAAAGCCTGGATAATACTTTTGAATACACACTTTGCTGATTCTTGAAATATACATATCTGCACTGTTTTACATCTTAACATAAACACAAATTGATAAAATGAAAGGTCAAAAGAAAGGTTAAAGATTATTGTTCAAATCCTGGCAGATTGCTTACCGTCTGTAGTTGTTTCTGGTGCTGTTTACGCATGCGTTTGTATCCAGCAAATTGCTCCCGCAACTCATTGGTATGCTCATGTTCTTTCATCTGCTTTGTGACAATGGAGGTTGTACGGATGGTAGCAAAATTGCCTGCACCTGGCTCCAAGTTTCGTGAAGGCTACAAAAAGACAAAATCAGATTTTAATAATTCATATAGGATGAGGCACAAAAACGGACTTTCAACTTATTAATATTTACTAAAAACCCCACTTACAAAATGGATCAACTTCCAGGATTTTAATATAAAATTCAAAATTTTGTTAGCGAAATAGTAAAATCTTTTGTAAGATTTGACAAATAATTGTCATATTAATCTTTTCTTGTAGTCCTCATCAACTAACATTTGGTACAAATAATATTCTTTTTTGGAAAAACTGTGCCAGATTCCTTAACATATTCAATAAATCTTTTGAAATAAAGTAACTTAAAATTTCAAAAATGGAGACTTCTTGAAGCAACAGAGATGTGGTTCTACTAACGAATGCTAAGAAAACCATAGACAGAACACATGAGCAATGGGAAGTCTCAAGGAGAAGAGAAACAACAAGGAAACTTACAATAAGAAATAAAACATTTGAAACCTTTGGGACACACAATGAGAAAAGACGGCCTAAAAGATTTAACACTCACAGGGATATAATGAAGACAAGAGAAATGGGTTTTCAGTGTATAACCTATCCAAAGATTTTGCATGAAGGCTGGCAGAACAAAGAGGGGTGGTAAAGGAGTTAAAAATTACTTAGAGCAACAAAGGGTAGGAAGTTGTCGAGAGCCATGATTACTCACATCCTGAAATGACTTGACATATAAAAGATGCTCAAGATTAAAGTTCTAGTAAGAAAAACAATTTATGATTTCCATGACAAATTACATCTTCCTCATTGTACAAGACTGATCACAGTGAGTCAAAGTTTTGATCAGCTAACATACGAAAGTAGCAACATTCTTACCAGAGAATTTTTTTTTCAAGTTCACCCCATGCTAGGCAGTAAAGCCACAAGGTGTTAATTGGTGTGGAAGAATTAGAAACAGAAACATTAGTAAGGAGCCAGAACAAAAAGAGTTGAAAACTACTTCAATAGATTCCTGTGATGCATAAACTTTTTTAATTGAATTATCTCCCTTGCACTGGCAATGTATTTATATATTTCAAACAGGCAGGCATAGGCAACCTTTTTTGGACAGTGAGCCACATGAGGTACAGTAAATCATAAGGCAGGCCGCACTACTAAAAATGATTTGTACATTCTAACCATTTAGCTATACTACAAACTATTATATGTCTTACTACATAAGATGCCAAGTGGTTACACTAGATAACAGTGTCAGGACAATGTAAACATCTTCAAATAGTCTTCCAATGTAGAGAGATGAAAATATAGGCATCATGAAAGTGCAGAAAGTAACACTAATAGATTGTAACAAAAATGTAAAGACTCACATGTGAAAACCTAATATAGACATAAATGTTTTTGATAGGTAAACCTTTGCTTATACAGGGTGCGATGGATAAACTGATGTCTAAATTACATGAAAATGAAAACAACACTAACATCTCATTTTAACAGATTTTTGTAATTTTTGTATAATTTTGGTAAATATAACTAAAGAGTAAATTTATTCAATAAAATTGTCATTAGCTTCAACCACGGCGTCCAGATGACTTTGAAACCTCCTGCAACTATTCTGGATGGTCTCCTTGTTTAAGTTGGTGAATGCCACCATAATCCATTCCTAGACAGCCATGACTAGGTTCTCCTGCTTGTGTGGCATGGTGCAATACCCTGTTGCAAGATATAGGATCTTCCAACAGCCACTCTCTTAACCTAGGGCTGCACTACCTCCTCAAGGCACTAGATGTAGGCCTCCATGTTCAGTCTGAGGCCCCGTGGGACGATGAAAGGAGGCATAATGTCAGCATCACTAGTGATCACATCAATCACCTTCATAATCACCATTAAACTCATCCAACTCTTTCCGAATCATCTACACCGTCATCATATTGACATCCAAATAATCTGAAATGTTTGTATTGAAGCTTCTGGCATGAATGCCAATCAGTAGAGCAAGCAGTTTCCAAATTTATTGTGGAATGAATCGAATCAGTGCTCTTCTTCTCACAGACAGTGACCAACTGACCCTACTATACTGCGCAGTTGACAAAAATCAAAAACAAACAACATGCTTGTGCAAAATTAAGAATGTAAAATGGCGACAATTTACCCATCGCACCCTGTACGTGGGGGGGGGGTGAAAGAGAGAAGATTTGTTGTTATTGTTTAATCTGACCAGACAAAACAGAAGAATGTATTCAGTCAGGTATTCCAAACATTTAGTTGGCTGATAAAGTTTAACAGAATAGGATTTTGGCTTTCAATCAGAATCAATGTTGGTTAATTTGGTTACACCATGTGATTGATGTTCAAGATCTAATTCTGTATATAAATAAAGGACATTAAATATTTTGGTCAATATTGGGTTTAATATTTTATGAACTGATGCCACCAGATTTTAAACGAAAGTGTTAACAAAAACATTGGCATTAAAATAACATTTTTAAAAATTCTTTATTAATATAAAGGATTTTTTCTTAAATATTCTAATACCTATCTTTTATAAAAGAGATTGCTGAATATTTCTTTTTTTAAACTAATGTTCATCTTATACAAGGTCTAAAAAGCACTTGAAGTAGTTGGCTGCTGAAGAAGTTTGTTGTGTGAGTGGTAAGATTAAGAAGTAACTTTATGGGGATATGTGGAAAAGATAATGGTTGACTCTAGACTTTAACAGTTTAAGATTGTGAATTGATTCCACAAGGTAGCAGTTCATTTGGGGGGAAAAGCTGTTTGAGTGGAACTTCTCACTAATGGAATACAAAGGGAATAAGGGTGGTTTGCTACAGTGAATGTGGCATGGTGGTTCTTAGCTGTGTAGGTTAGAACTAGTGGAATGAAGGAATGTAGCTTGTCCGAACATTTTCCATGGAAATAGTGATGATGAATTCACCAATTTTATGATTTGATCTCAGTGGTTTAAATCATACTCAACAGCAAAACTAAATAGAATTCATATATCTTTATTCATTGTAACATTTTCCTTAAGTCGATATCTGCAGAGGTAAGTCTAGTTTTAAAAATGTATTTACAGGGAGGCATGGTGGAGTAATGGATAGCGGCTTGGATTGAGGAATTGGAGAGCTGAATTCCAGTTGAATCCATTACATTCACTTACGTGCTAATACCCTTGGGTAAGGTATGAATCCTCTTCTCCTCCCAGCTATGGGTAAATAGTGGGACAGACTGGGTTCTATAGCCTTGAGTGGCAACTGGTCTACCGCAGAAAGAAATGGCAACCTACTGCGGGGAAAAAATTTGCCTTGTCAGTCATGTATCAAAAGATACATGATTGCCTAAGCATGTGTCACGCATGGTACATAACTGACTTATTTACATAGATGCATTTATCAGGTGGATAGCATTTTCTTTTGTACAAATTGTGATTCATCTATTACACTTGAAATATTTGATAATGACACACAATACAAAAGTGAATGCACTGGAAGATTATTGATTCAGTAAGTAAACATTCTAGTAAATGAGAAGAAAACATCACTAGTTGTTTTGTCACTTTACTCACAGCTTTGATTGCACTGTTAAATTAAAGTCTTGATAGACAAATGGCTCATTGACTATCTGCATGAATTAAGAGTCATAAATATTCAAATAATGATTTTGAAATTAAATCAACAATACCAAACACAGTTAACTAGATTCTACAACAAAGCATGTTCTTAAGTGAATATTTGCTAACCTTAAAATAAGTCAAATTAATTGAAATTTTATCAGGGAGGGTCTTTTTTTTCTGCTTAAAAAGATTCCTATTAAATTTATATAAATAATACAAAAATATAAATTACTTGGACAATATTAATTGTAATTAAAATTAGCTGACTCATTTATGTTAAGGCATAAACCCAACCATAAAAATGTACAAAGTTTAGCAATCATTACAAAAAGATGAACAAAGTCTTATAATTATGAATGCATTCAGCTGAGTACACACATTTTCTCAAGTATTGAAATTTCAAATTGATTCAAATGTCCACTTGTTTATAATTGACATGACTCAAATTCAATGTTATGTATTCAGTTTTGTTTCCTAACAATCACTGGTTGTAAAATGAAGTGTTGTTTAAGGATTTCTAAACACAGATCTTGATTAAAAAGATTGTACAATACTAAGTTGAAACAATATTCTAAAGAAATCACATTCTTTTAATGTCTCACTTTTAGAAAGACTTCATTGCAAATTAAATGTTGATTAAATCTGTAGAAGAGAGAAATTTCTATGTCACCTCTTAAGTAGGGATATAAGTAATTAATTTCAGTCCAAATCATCAAAATGTACAATATTTCAAATGTTCATTTCAATGATAAAACAAGCATTCAATTTTAATAAAATTATTAATTTACAAAACACAAGCAAATTGCAAAAAAAAAAAAAAAATAAATAAAATAAAAAAATCCTCTTCCGATTTTTAATTAAATCTGAAGTAATTAAATCAATTGTGGCCATTTTTGAGCAGCCATGTAAATAAAAGCAAGGATTCAAATTGGATAGAAATTTCAATTGTATCTTTGCTATTATCATTGTTTCATTTTAAACAGGACAAACCAAACAAAGAAAACAATATTACAATACATTCAAGACATTTTTGTAAAGTAGTTTAAAAGAAAAAATATAACCATGCAGTACTGACTTGAGGTAACAGCAAAAAATGAAATGGACATGATTCTCAAATATAACGTGTTGAAGAAATCTAAACAAATCATGTATTTGACATTCTTGTTTTAAATAATTCAAGTAAATTCTATTCACATAATAAACTAGTGTACAAACTTAAATTCATACTATTAGACTACTGAACTTTATATATATATATATATATATATATTAGATATATATAGTTCAGTAGTCTAATAGTATGAACTTAAGTTTGTACACTAGTTTATTATGTGAATAGAATTTACTTGAATTATATATATATATATATATATATATATATATATATATATGGCAAGATAATCTATTGAATGAAACAGACAATCTTAGGGGCTT